AGAGGAAGTTACCTAGTTAAGGTAAAATTAAGGTTATAATAAATAATAATATTAGTAAATATTGACAAATATTAATATTACAAACTAGAATTTATGTATTTACCATAGTTATTGTAGTTTTTCAAGCAATATGAAAATATGAGGACAAGACATCTTAAGAATTGTGTAGAATTATTACATGTGGGAATAAGCATTCGATTAAATCAGTTAATTTAGTTAAGGAATACCATTAACTGATTTAACCGACTTTCTTAAAAAAAATTAAACAAATCAAACCAATTAACCGATTTAATCAATTTTTTTAAATTTTTTAATAATATATTAATAATGTACTTTATGTTACTATATATTACATTATTACTTATAATTTTACTGATATACTAATATAGCATATTATTAATATGTAAATATATAGTGTATCAATAAGTACACCATCTATGGTGTATTAAGATATATATTATATAATGTATAACTATAAACAATATATACTGTATTAATATTTACTATGTATAATTATATAGTGTATATGAATATTGTATTGATATATATTATATATAGTGTATAACTATATACTAATACAATATGTTGTGTATTAATATATTACTATATATACTTAATATTTACTCATATGGTATATAAGTATACTAAGAAGTCATATAACCTATATACTATAAAATAGTGTATTGTTATATATTATAGTATAGTTTATTATTAATATAAGTTACATTACTATAGAATACTAATATTAATATAAGTTATACTATAGTAACATTAATATATTCGCATAAATTAATAAGTTACTATGTTAAATTATTAATATTAGTTATATTACTATAGTACTCTAATAATAATAATTTAATATAACTTACTATACTAGTGTAAGTTATACTATATTAATATAGTTTATTAATAACTTAAGATAAAAATAAGTTAACATAATAAGTTATATTAATAACTTAAGTTTAGGGTATAGCTTTCATTATATTTTGCATTAATTTGACATTAATTTTTGTATGGATATATTTATATAAATATTTAATCATATTCATGTCTAAATAACGTGTATTTTATTTTTATTTTTGATGATTAAATCTAGTTGTTCATATATATATATATATATATTGTATATATTGTGTGTGTATAGAAAATCAGTGTGAGTATATACATATAATAAAAACCTTTAAATATACTTATTTCAAAGTTGATTAATTTGGTTAATTGACTTCAAAATTTTTTAACCAATCTGAATAGAAAAAACTGATTTAATCAAATTTTTTAACTGATTTATCCAAATTACCCAACTTAACTGAAACCAAATTAACTGAATTTATCTGTTAATTCGGTTTTGACTAAATTTTGCTCACCCATAATTACATGTACAAAAGTAATTTACTTTTCAAGAAATAAAATTAAGATATAATACTTAAGAAAATCACTAAGTTATGTAGGCAAATTCAATAGTGAATTAATTATTATTAGTTAAAATGTTAGTTGCCATTTTTATATACCATGTGATATTGACATGACACACTCACATATCATAATTAATATTAATATGATATATTGATGTGACAAGATAACATGATGATATTATGTTTTTTACCTTTCACATCAATCAACTTTAGTTATAAAAATATATTTTAATCATATAAAAATAAAAGAACTTAATGAAATATAATAAAAGAGTAAGAATTTTAAAAATTTTTTACAAATAGTTGAAGGAGCTTTTCAAGTATTATGCCTAAAATAAAAAATAATCAAATCCATTCTTTTCTTTTACTTTAAACCTAAAACTTTAGTTCTTTTTTTTATCTCAATATATATATATATATATAACTATGCTTCCTAAAATTATCCTCCAAATCTGAAAGACATTTATTCAAATTTTATTTTCATCTAATTTTATATATACAACATATTCTAAGTTGTTAATATTTAAATGGTATAATTTAATATCATTTATATTTAAAATGATTATACATATCAATTACGAATTTCTTAAAGTAATTTATTGTTGACTCGAACTCATGTGTGCTGAAATATTTCTGGTTTATTCTAATATGTAAAGTTACAAATTAAGTTAGGTGTCACGTAGCACCAATTGGGTAAATTTACATAAAAGCTTATTAAAGTGATTAAAAATTTATAATACCCCTTAATTTCAAAATAAATATCCACTTTGTATTTGTTGGGTCAAACTTAAGAAGCTTTTATCATAATTTTGTACTTAAAATATTGTTATCCTTTTAACTTTTAATTATAATTTCACGCAGACCTATTAATTTTTGAAATAGATAATCCGTCTCAAAGGATATCTTCGACTAGACACATAAATCCAACTATTAGTCATGATAATATTAAAAAGATAATTTTACCCTTTATGAATTTTAAAAATTACTTCTATCTAAATTATAATTTTTAATTTTTAATTTTTTTTATTTTGTAAAATAAAAAATCTCTACTCCCCAAGAGAGGGAAGCAATTGTAGTGAGACAATCTACCGGTGAGTAAGAGCACCGTCGGCCTATCACATTGTTTGAAAAAAAATAGAAAACAGAAAGGATATTTTAATATTTTCTTATTTTTTATTAACGTTGTTTACATTTTTGAATCTTATCGTTCATTTCGAAAACTAATGTACCTATGTGAAATTATGATAAAAAGTTGATATGGGGATAGTATTTTACCTTAATTTTATGTACATTGTTTTGAAATTAAAATTTGAAAATTATAAAATTTGTAAATTTTGAGTCTAAAATTTATCAAAAATTGTCTTTATTCGAAATTTTAATAACTCATAAAGTTATAGTAAATAATGATCAAAAGTTCATTTCGTTCAACATGAAACAGAGAAAGTAATATAGATTAATTTGTGCTTACACGAAATCTTTTACTTTGTGGTTTTTTGTTTACACTTTAAAGGAGATTAACTACCCCGTTTCTTTTAATGAGCTATGCTGTGAGTCCCACAAATTAACTGTTCCTTTCATTTCAAATTAAAAAATTCACATTTGACTTCCCATAAAAAATAAGAACATTTTGACTTTAATATTTTTAAATATTAAAAAACACATTATAATCTTGATAAATTAGTGTTTTTAATAACAAAAAGTAATATATGCCTATAAAAAATTTATTATTTAACATAAAATATTGAAGTCGTAGATATTTAAAAAAGAAATGTCTAAAAAGAACATAAAAACGTTCAACTTAGAGAACATTAAGTACGACCGCCCCTAATCTTCATCAAAGGCTCTTTAAGATTAGGTCCTATTCGCAGGGCTACCCAAATGGACTATACCATGTAGAGTGAGAGGGACGACGAAGACGGAAGGCAATCAATGAAGGAACCAGCCTTTGGAGTTCTACAAAGGGGGTTTAGGCACCCACGTACGTATAGACCCCAAAAAGCGCACCCATGGTCCTGAATTTACCCTGCATTAGCTTAAGTACCCAACCTTATCGCAGTGGAGGCTCTTGATTGGCAATTGACAAAATATCGGCGACGGCTTAAACCATACAGCAATTGGATTAAGAAATAAAAAGTAAAGGCCTTATGAAAGTCAACATGGACGTTTGTTGTTCTGTTTCTTTTTTCTAATCACAAAATAAATCCAACTTGAAGGTGCAGCCCACCGGTAAAAAGCTAAAATACTCCTTCATACTGATTGAATGCTACCAAACTTGTTGCTTTATTCATTATCACCAGCTTCATAAATTAAAGCATATTCCTTAAGAAATTGTTTTCTTGTAAATAAGCCGCAGCATAATCAGTTATCAACCTTGACCGATTGATTGCAATAATTGTGGAATCCTTGTTAATGGGGGGCGTCTATTTCTGCCTTGTGTCTTTTTTCCTTGTCAACAAAGCTGGGTTTGAAAACGATAAGGTTTAGAGTTTGGACTTGGTCCTGTTTATCCTGCCGTCCCCAACTTTCCTTGTCATTTTACCACCTGTCGATACAAACTAGTGTAATACACTGTGATTTGCACTGGAAATTAAGGGCACTTTACCAAATAGCCCTCCATTTTTCCAAGCGGCAAAAATACCATTAGTAAACACCCGAGAGGTCAGAATTGTTGGAGTGGGAACTCTGCCTTAAAGTCAAGTCAATAATACGCCAACCTTCTCTTTGATAAAAAGGGTCGCAAAACCAAAGCTTCTTCACCATTAACGTTTAGGGTTCTTGACAAGAGGCTTTTGCAACTGGCTGCTATTTATTTCTGCAACGAAAGATAAAGAGATGGTCAGGCTAGAGGTGGCGAGAACGGATGGAGGGGTAAGCAGTCAAGACTTGAGCAGTATGGTTTTTTTCTTTTGGGCAGCTTTAGTCGCCCTTGCTCTCATTACAGCAATCATGTTCTCCTGTGCTGGTGGCGCATCCAAAGATAATGCCTCCGCCACCCATACAGCTGCCTACGGTTCCACCTGCGCGGCTGGATGCGGCGCTGGCTGCGGTGGATGAACTCTTGCCACCAGTTAGCTTTCATGCATGCACGAGAATGGAACACTACCGACAAGGCATTAATTTCCATGTCTGTCAATTATCCTCGATCACTGTTGAACAAAATGTTAGGGCCGTGATGTACAGCGCATATCATCGACTTTCATATTTTTGTAATAAGCTAGCTGTTGACATGCTAATGAAGGGATGCATTGCAACCACAGCTTCCTTATCTACTTTTCACGTTCTAATCGGTTGTAGATTTTCTCAACTAGTTAAAATGTGCAATAAGCTGCCCGCATTATTTCCAACTTCGACCCCATGTTCGATTACAATTCCATCGCACTCGATAAGGCCATAAATCAGTTATACATTCCTATCTAATTACCTCAGCACTGCAGCCCTGAACACGATAGGGGTAGGAAAAAGCACAAAATCCTGGCAACAAATATTTTTCTGAAAAATGTAAGCTTAATTCATATAATCCAGACCAAGGGAAAGGGAAACTTGCACCCGACAACAACCCCAGTGCAAACTTCCAATCGCAGAAGAAAATTTTCGAATAATCTTTAAATATTTCATTTATTGCTCTAAAGAAATATCCAACATGATACTTTCACATGCTTTCAGACCAAGGAAAACGTGTAGCTCTTACATATTACTCTTTCAATGCACCTCGGAACCAACATTAGGGTCCCGGAAATAATACATAAAAGAATAACAAGGACGAAGCTGTATATGTATTTATCATCCTTTATTGTTATTGAACAGAAATATATCCTAAAACTCATGTTCAAATTTGATCTCATTATGGGATTTACATTCCACGGCTTTTCCTTATTTCGCTGGAAGATACATCCATTTGGAACCTTTCGGCTGGTATTGAGACAAACATATCTCTCAAATCTTCAGGTATATCAAGATCCTCAAGCACCTGTAGGAAAAACCGAAAGTTAGACAAAAATATAGCAATAAAAGATGAAAAACAAGCAGTTGTTTTCACAGGTGTCTGATGCTTGGCACACCTTAAAAGCACCTTCTACATTCCGACCAGCCACAATGAAGGTGCATCCTGTTCTTTTGCATCCAGTAAGCGTTTCTAGCATCTTATCATATCTTCCATCATAGTATTTAGGCTGTAAAGTAAGAGAAATAACTAAGAAAACTCAACTAACATATTATTCAGTGCTTCCAACCAAACTAGAACATGTTGCATCCACATCCATGCAGAATATGCAAACCACATTAATTATTTAGGTCACAATCCAAAGACTCACTGTTCTATCACAGAAAATTCATCACAATTTTGAGGAACAGAATTGGGGTCCACAATATTTGGTTTCTAAAAAGAAGCCAATTACAATCAGGATTAGAATACTTTTCATCTGCACTATTGCCAACAGAAAAATCAAGAAACAAAGGACAGAGAAGAAGATGGCAAAGGGATAGGTTGAACAGTAGCAGAGCAATTATCAAACACCAAGTTATGTTTGTCCACTCTATCTGATACCAAAGCATGCTGACCCTAAACCATGCCCAGAGGAATAGTTGTATACAAACTAGTTCTGCTGCAACATTTTCATTTAATCATATATCCATTATAGCTACTTTGACATCCAAGAAGGTAAAGTAGACATTTATTTTTCCCTGTTTTTACACCTATAAAGTTTATAGCCATCCTTCTCATAAGAATATCTTAACACATGTTACTCACTAATTATGCAACAAACCGTTTTGAACCTATGAGCTGCTATTATTCTCTTATTACAGAGGTGCTTCACCAGCTATTCCAGCTAGAAAATATAATAGGGTAATATTTTTCTTAAATCAGAGTAACAATAATTGTACTTGAAACTCTTAGCATCATTTTCTCAAACTTTCTCAAATAAGTTTCGTTGCAAATGACTTCTGTATGATATATGTGAATCTTTACACATTGGCACAATTAGTAGAAAACAAAAAAGAACTTCTGTGACAGACAAACATTTCATGATATGAGATCAAAAGATACAGCCAATTCAACAAGTCATTTTTAGATAATGAAATGATAACTGAAGCTGTGATTGAGACAATCCAAAATTCATCTTCTATATATTGTTTATGTGGCTCAAATATGCCTATAAAACTACAAAGTCCCTGTAACAGTCAGGTCTTGCACCTTAATTATCAAAGTAAACACACAAGGAAACTTGAAACTTACAAGAAAAGAGGTTTATTCACCATGAAAATTGCAATTCAAGATATTATGCATTAATATTTTAATTCGAAACTTTGAACTTTAAAACGATCTATTAAACAATCCTATGACTCAACATAAACCAAGCATAGCAAACAAAATCATGATATAATGCCATAAATTTAAAGCAATTCGAAGTTTCATACATTGATAAGCCTCACTGCAGTGTCTGCACCAATAACAAAAGCACTCCCTGGAAAAAGTTCAGCTTTCCTATAGAAATAAGGCTGATTGGAAACTATTACCGTCTTTCCTGCCATTAGGGAAACACAAGCCTCATCTCAATTCTTAAAAAAAAAAAAAATGGAAGAAAGAATACTAACATCAAAATAGAGGCAGTTAGGAAAAACTAACCCTGCCCAGATTATATATGACAGATACAACAAAAAGTGATACAACACACTTTTATTTAAAAATATAAATTGTTAAAAGAAAGAAATTTACCCAAAAAAACCAGTAACCACCTTGACTACAGGTACTTGTATCCTATCCCACTTAATTACCAGGCATCAATAATCCCCCCATAATTTTCAAAAAAAAAAAAAAATAAATTATCCCCCTGCATATGACAAATTTGTGATTAAATGTCCTTTGTGAAAAAGCATACGTCCAGTGCAGTTAATGAACAAATGCATGATACTTATAACATGTTATAAACTTAAAATGTTAACTTTCACATTCACTCAACATGAACGTGACTTCTGAGAACACCAACTGCTATTAATATGCATGTTATAAAGTAACATTTTAAGCATAAACTCTTCACAACAAAAAACATCTTGCCTATTTCCATCTCATGATCCATGCTCACTCATGCAGCAAATTATATAATACACACAAAGTTTTAACATTCAAGGCATCACAATTGACACCAGATATACATTACACGCATAAAGGCATATAAAGAGAGTTTATAAAAGTACTCAGCCTCACCAACTTTTTCAAACTGCAAAACACGGTCTTTTATTTGTGATATCAACAGTGGAGGTTTGTCAGCATTGATGGCAGATAATTCAAAGCACGGATATCCATTGCCACAAATGCTGCATCAGGGTGAACCTTTAATGAGTAACTGGTTATGTATGGCTTACAAAACGAACACTAACTCATGAAAAATAAGTGTTGAAATGTGTGATAAATAATGAAGAAATGAGAGGCCTGTGAGATCCTTGATCTTAACCTTTTTAACAGGTTTCCCAACAGCCAAACTTACCTTTCTTTGCAAAATTCATATAGACAGCCCTCTGAATTTCATTTCGGAGATTTTCAACAAACAGGCAAATTTATCCACTTGCCAGCTAGAACTAGTTTGATGAAAATGACCAAAACAAATAATTTCTAAGACAGAAGCTACGCCAAATGAATCATAAGTGAGTTAAAATCTTTAGAAATTTAAGTTTCTAAACAAATTCACAAACCTAGTGGCAACTTCCAAGAGCTTGAGATGACCATCATGTAATGGATTAAAGGATCCAGACAGTATTATCTTCCTATCAGCATTTGATGTATCTGTCTCAGCAAAGCAGTTTCCATACTGTAAATAATAGGATAAAAGATATACTTAAAAAGAAAAGAACCAAAGTGTCAAACTGTTATTATAGTTAATTCAGCCAAGGGTTGAACCATACCAGTTGAAAACGGATAAACCTTAAAGCAAATTTGCCCATTTATAAGTTGCTCTAACTCCTGATCTTCATCGAAGAACCTTTCACATTCATCCGCAACTTCAGATTCAGTCAACTCAGAATCAAATGTGGAAGGGACTTTGCATGCATTAGCAATTGCCTGTAGCCACATTTCCAAAGCATTAAAATCAACAAGAAAAGAAGTTCGAAAAGAAATTAAACTATAGCATTTATCAAAGAGATGCAATATGACAAAGTTGACAACTCAAGAGCCATCAGATACTTTTCTTTTTACCTTTCCTACAATTTTTAAGTCTCGATAATTTCTAGAAAACATTATTGAACAAAATAAGCATTAAATATAAATTCTTAAGATATATCTTCAAATAACATAAATGTATACATTACACACCTTCAGTAGGAAGCAACTTGAGACCTTTTCTTCCTGATCTCGACTCCTCAAGCCCTAGATGACTCAGTATCAGATTAAAAAAATGCACAACCAGTTGAAAAGAGCATTTTAATAAAGAAAAAGTAATCATATGGTAATTACCTTTGACAGAGTAACTGTAGATGCCCAATGTCGATCATGTGTTCTTGTTGACAAGTGAAACCTAGACAATTAAAAAGAGGGATTAACAACCACCTTGCAAACAAGGAACAATCTGCAAATCCAAAGATTCATGAGAATATAACATTAACTCTGCTGAAGTTTGCAGATATAACTGCTTTAGCACTCCAAAATGGCATTTGCTATACATGTTTATAATTTTTTTATTTGTCTGCATCCATACATGTAGTCAAAGCTTCTTATTTGTACCTTTGATTTATAATTATTTTACGACTTGCCAATGAGCAATGAAATCATGACCTAACAGAAATGCAGCCCCAGTTCGCGTACATAGGGCTGACCACCAGTTGGCCACCAGTCGGCCAACACCGCATGGCCAACTGATTCCAACGATCAGGCCAATTCTTCAGCGCCGGTTGTGATGCCGGTTGAGGGAGGTGGCTACCATAGTTGTTCGGCTCGGTCATCAGCGGGGAATCCCTTCCCCCAACACCGACCAAATAACTGACCCCCTTTTTTAAGTAATATATTTATATGGGGTGGGAATTACATATTTACCTCTCACCCTCCACATTAATACCCCTAACCCCACCCCCAAAACCCTCCTTCCCCTTCCCGCACCACAGCCGCAGCCGCACCCCATCCCCAAGCCTTCCTTGCCTCGCCTGAGTCTCCTCACCAACTGCACAACTGACCTCATAACCAACCAACCGTGGTTGGTCATGCTTTGGTCAGTTCCCCACTAGTGTCGGTCAGTTTCCCCACCCTAGTCGGCTTGGTCAGTTGCGGCTCCTCCATGACGAAACACCCACACTGACCAATGCCCAGCCCTATGTACACACCTACACTTAAAAATCCTGGGATTGAGATTAGGCATCAAGAATTGAAGTTAAAGTATCATCACAATCTACAATATTTATATCTTTCCAAAAAAAATGAATGAATTTGGAACACCACCTCCTAAACCCAACTTAAAAAAATAAAAAAAAAAAAAAAGGGAGAGAGGGAGAGAGACATGAACTTAGTCATTGGTTCAGACATTTGGCTGATTTTTATGTTCTTATTTAATTGTAACGAAAACTAAATATTAATCCAAGTAGCAAGCACAAATCAAAAGGCCATCATTACAACCTGCAATAGCATTATCCAATTAAAATTAACATAACCACTTGACCAAACTGCAAAGGGATCACTGCATATCACATAACGAAGGATACATTTGGAAGAAACAAACCTATGGTCCCCAAGTTTAGGACGCATGGTAGCCAAAGAACCGGTAAACCCCACACCAAGAACTGGAGAACCTATTCAAATAGTTAAATACAACCCATGTTACACAAAATTGGCCGCAATCCCATTTGGGACAAACAATTAAAGTAGCTTAAGGCCTGTTTAGTTTTGCAAAATGTCTTACATTTTCCTCTAGATTTTTATCCCAAATATGATCAATAAAATAGGGTCAATATCTAAATTTAGAAAGTTGAAAAACAAGGGTTTCCAAAGTTCAATAAAATAATTTAAAACAATTGTTCAGTCTTCTAAAAATTGGAGAACAAGCATCTCCAAACTTAAGAATTTTCCATATTCAATTGATCATATGTAGAGCAAAAGTGGAGATCGAAAATAGAAGGCATATTCCAAACTAAATGTAGCCTTATGTTCTTAAGCATAAAAAGTAATGACAGTTTAAGTTTTTTTCCAAACTAAACAAGTGATTTAATTAAGGATTGAGAATAAAGCAAAGAATGAAATTGAAGTTACGAACCTGGAGAAGATAGCTTCAGCGCCCGATTATAAGCAAGCAAAGCCATTTCATCGGCAGTTTGTTGGCCACAATACTGGGCAGGAATCTACACCGCCAACGCTGATTAAGCGATTGTTTTATAAAACCAAAAATATAAAAGGTGGAATTTGTTCTTTGTTTTCAAATAAAGAGAAAAGAAAGAAGAGAACCTTGGCAAGTAATTGGATCATTGACATTCTGGAGTATGGTACGACAGCTTCCAGCACCGTATTTGAAGCTCCAGGAACTGACATTAACCATCCTAGAGCCTGCTTAAAATTTTAAATTAATCGCTGTAATTAGTGATAATAATTCAGATTAAAATGTTAATTTTTTTAATAGAAAAAGAAAGCAATTTTGCGGAGATTAAAGAAAGAGAGAGACGAGAGAGGCGCCGCCGGAGAGGTAGATGACGGCCTGGGTGGGGGAAGAGTGGATCGATTCGACGACTGCTCTTATGCAAGCGTCAGTCATTTCTTTGTCTCTGTATTCCACCTTTCCTGCTTCTTCATGATTCATCTCCTCTTCCGTCCTTTTTCATTACTCCCGAATATTTTACTTCAACGTTGTCGTTTCTGTACCCCACTTTGCGTAGAATTGCAGCCCCCAAATCTCCGACCCAATTCACCTTACACAATTCGGACCAGTCCAAAAAGTCAATTGCTCGAGACCAGCTAATCTAAAATCCGAAATGATTTTTTTAATAATGATATTTTATTTATTTGAATCTACAAGAAAATCAGAGAAACCTGTAATTCACCAAACTAAAATAAAATCCCGAAATGATTTGGTTTGGAATCAAAATAGTAAAAATTTATTTATGCATATGCCGAAGTCCTTCTTATAAGGACAAAGATAGTGCTATAATAAATAAATTGAGCTGCCTTAAAAGATGATAAAGAAAAAAATTAGAGTTGTTCTTGAAGTATTAAATGTTTTGCCACGAGAGGTGAGGAATATAAATTAAAGACAATGTAAGAAAGTGTAATAGGTGATACACTAGAGAATAAGGTGGAAAGAGATAATATGAGAGAGAATGTGTTTTGGAAAGAGTTTGGAATGAGCTTTTAAAGAAAATATCTAAGATTTTATATTTCTAGTGTGTCATTGATGAATTGTCATGACTACTAAATATATATACCAAGTAAAAGTAGTTATTAAGAAGCGACTGGTTAGAAAGTATTTATTGTATGTCCTAGGAAAATCATATTTATGAAGTACATGTTCATCACAAGAACAACAAGTCTATTATGAAAGAATACATCCATCATGGGAATAATAAGTTAAGCAACTGCATATATTGGGTACTGGGAGGATATTTTGGTTTAATAGCATAATGGAGTTTAATGACACTTAACTATGTGTCTTGTGTTTGTTAAGAAGGATGTTCAAGGAAAAGCATTTGTAATTCAAGGAAAAGTTAAGAGAAAAATCTCTTAATTACTTCAATATTCGAGCTATTAAGTCAAACTCTTGAAAATATCCAAATGATGAAAATAACTCATGAACTCAATTACTTATTTTGAGTTACTTTCACTATTGTTCACGTGACATAACTTTTAATACTTGTTCTTCTTTTGTAAGACAACTCTTAAGGAAATAACAAGTTTGTCAAAATGAGACATGTATATTTTTCCCTTTGCATGAGAATTCTTGTTAAAAGAAATTCTCATGCATAAGTACTAAAAATAAAGTAGAATAAAAATGTAATTTAATATCTGTAAGCTTGTTATGCAATTGCTATTGTATTGCATGTGAAGTATTATTATTATTATTATTATTATTATAAAAGAAGAAGAAGAAGAAATTGTAAAAAATAACCCTCCTCATAAACTCATTTTAGAAATAGCCTTTAATATAAAGTTTATTCTTTTTATCCGATTTTAGCCATGAGATGACAAAAATATCCTCAAAATAATTTTAGAAAAATTACATGCTCTGAATTTCTTTCTCCCCCCATTCATTTACTGTGCTCCCCATTTTTCTCTTTCACCATCTGGCTCTCTTTAATTTTACCACCATTACCATCTCTTTTTATTTATCTTTTATCATCTCACCATATTGTTATCGATCTACAAACCAACAAGCATGATAATGGAACGTAACAACATATTTTGGGTTCACTGGTTTATATTCACAAAACTCTCTCTATGTCCACCTCTCACCATCTCATCATTGATCTACAAATCAAAAAGCATGACATAGTGAGTAACAATAGGTTCTTAAGTTTATTGGTATTGAGCTTTTCAATGATTCTAATCTAGTATAACATGCCTTGGCATGTAATAAAGTGATTCATGCTTTGACATGTAACATCATTAGAAAGAAGGAAGTTTTGACATGTAATAAATGGGGCTGAAGCTTTAGCCTTAGCATGTAACATCTGATATTGAACTTTTGGTCCTAACATGTAACATTTAGTACTGAAGTTTTGACATTAGCGTGTAACATTTTCTACTAAAGTTTTGGTGTGTAACATTTTCTTCTAAAATGTGTAATATTTTTTTTGAATATGGCGTGTAACAACAACTTTTATTAAACACAGCATGTAACTTCCTCCTTTGTATTTCACTACAATATAAACTCTTGGAATTAAGACGTGTAATAACTTTTTTTTCAACTTTAACAATATTTTTTTTAATATGACATGTAACAACAATATTTTCTAAACATAGCGTGTAACTTGTTCTTTATCTTTGTATTTCACTAGGATATCAACTCTTAGAGTTAAATACCTTTACGATAGAGATAAAGCTTAAAATTAAAAAAGAATTTGACAAAAAAATGAATATATAGTGAAAAATTATTCAACGCTAAATTGGGATAAAACGAATTTGGACAAAGATATTATCTTGAAAAATTATTCAACGTCAAACTAGCATAAAATAGATTTACACAAAAACATGTTATCCAAAGTTCTCTAATTTGGATAATTAACTTTTGGGTTATTTTGTTTGTTATATTTCCTGTAATTATAAAAAAAAAAACATAGCATTTAGCATTAGTAGGAAGAAGGAAGCTAAAAACAGAGAATACGACATTTGAATATGAGGAAGTTTCATTAGTACGACGCTTGAATATGAAAAAGTTTCATTAGGGGTAATTTTGTTCAAAAATCTTTTCTCTTGGCTATAAATAGTTAGAATTAAAAAGAATGTTATTTTCGAAAACACCTTATCTTTGAGGGCTAAAAAAAATATCTTTTATTATTATTATTTGCGTAGCATTATATGAGGTATGCCAACATGTTGCTAGCAAAATAATTTCTAAATAATTAAATGAGAGTAATGCACTATCTTATAAATATTACTGTGAAACTCTAATTTTTCGTATTGTGGAGTTTGGTAAATATTTGAACTCTTTATGAATTATTTTTGGTGATGATTGCCAATGAAAATTTTTTGTCATTTGATGTTCAATCTCTCTATAACATTACATTCATGGAAGAATGATGATTGCAAGAATGGGTGAAAAAAAGGAAACCAAAGATTTCCAAGTCTGAGCTTGAAAGGTTGATTCTAAAGTAAGAGAGGTTGATTCCAAGGTGTACACGAACCTTAGATAGCTACTAGAAGTGTCAAGAATCGACCTCAAGCAAGGAAGGCTTGATTATTGCAAGATGGAACACTTAGAATAGCTTATAGAAACTTAAGAATCGATCACAAATGGCTAAAGGGTCAATTCCTACAAGTTAATTAGAGTTTCTAAACAAACTACTAGAACTTAAAGAATTGATGTCTAAGAGTCAAGATCGACTTTCGCAAGTCTAGAAGCATACTGGAACTTCAAGAATTGATGTTTAAGAGTCAAGAATTTGATTCTCGCAAGTCTGGAACTTCAAGAATTGATGTCTGGAAATTAAAAAAATCGATTCTCAAGCTACAACGTGGAAAAAATATTAAACCCAACTCAAACTCTAAAATTTATTTTTCACTTTTCCAACCTCTAACTCATCCCCAACACCATCCAAACCCTTTCCCAACCTCCCAAGACCCCATTGGACAAAGATTCAACCTTTTAGCTCAAATTTAAGGTAAGATTAGGCTTTTTTGAGTATAAATCTCATAAATATTACTTAACTCTAAGATTTTACAAATTTCAGCCCATTTATTCCATTTTTGAGCCAAGAATTTTGGGGGTTTTGCTCTTCAAGGAGGTTATGAAGGTAAGGAAAGTTAAGGCTAATCATTTTATGGATTGGGTTTCAAGTTTAGAAATTTACTAGAACTTAAAGGAAGGTCTTTTTGATAAATCCATTAGTTTCAAAAATGGGTTTTTGATAGAAACTAGGAACTTATGATAGGATTTATTTTGTTAAGTGGTTGTTAGAGCTTGAGATAATTGATGAGTAAGAAATTGGTGACTCGAAGCTTAGGAAAAGAATGCACTTCTTGTCAAGGTGAGTGGGTACACCTTTTCAAGTATTTTGAATACGCAAAGTGAACATATTTTGACAAGTTATTTACCATTGCATGTTTAAAATGACTTTAGTAAAAATATTGGTTTGAATACCTATTCAAATGTTTTGAAAGAATTTTTTAATCTATTACGTAAGTGATTATATCACTATGTAGTGATTTTAAACAAGGGGGGACAAGCCCTTTCAAATAATTTCTCTTTAAAACATTATTGCATGTTTGGTAAAGTTGAAATGACATGTATTAGAAATGTTAGCTCAATAGATAAGAACGAGAATTCCCAATAAGGGGTGAATTCAACTTTAAAAATTTGAAAGACTTAAATTAAACTGTTATAGTCAATTATGAAGATATGAGAGTCGACTATTGAGATGTTTTTGCCCATGGTATTTTCAAAAGACTTTTTCAAAGTTGTTTGAGCAAACTTAGAGTTGACTATGATAATTCAATAATCGATCCTAGGTTATAATATTTTTCTCAAAAGATATAAGATAAGTTTCTTGAACAAGATGATGAGTATGCCAAACTAGATCAAGTCTTTTACAACTTAAGATACAAAATTAAAGATCACATAAAAATTCTTTTGGTATGGTTGAAATGTTTTCAAGCATAAATCAATGAAAAACAAATCGAAAACTATTTTCAAAACTTTCTTCAACACGAAATGTATATGCTAAGAAAGTAAAAGAAAAGTAAACAAAGACACAAACAAATTTATAGAAGTTTAGCTTTCTTCAATGCCTATATTTTTTCTCTTAGCAAGCTAAAGAGTTCAAATTTGTTGGGATAGGTTGGCCATGCATCACAATGCAATAGAAAATAAATAAAAACAAATAATACCGGCCTTACCCACCCAATGTTATCTTCGAAGGTCTCTTGATTGTCTTCAAGCATTCAAACAACAAACATATGATCATAGATCATTACCTTTATAGATAAAGTAAGCTGGATTCCTTATCTAATTCCATAAACAGCCCATTTGATTGATCTCACACTTAGCTCATTTGTAGCAAACCAAAGCTGTCCAAGAGGTTCTTGTGTAGCCTTTAACGAAAGTCCACATGATGATTTTGAGAAACCCTACATCATGGTGGGATTGCTAAGCCTTATGATGTGCAAGCAAAGTAGTGTTCATAACACTTTCCTTCAAAAAAAAAAATTAAGCCGAATAGTCAAGAAGAAAATTGATTCTCTTCTTTGTACTCAATAAAGGCGACGCACACTAGTTGACAAGCTTTTTTTCCCTTTTCTTTTCTTTTTTCTCGTAATTAGGCCCATAGCAAGGTTTATATACTTGATTAATTTCAGCCCTAATTAGGTTAATTACATAACTTATATGTATTTGTAATTTAATCCAATAACTTAATTAAACAATTTTAATGAAGTCCTTAAAAACTTACAACTCATTACTCAAATAATGATTACATTAATCGATAACACTAAACGCATATACGTTCTTAATCAATTAAGTCTAAAAGCTTATA